TGGATAAATGAGAAGGGCTTTAGGGTTGGTCATCACACTGCTCTGCTGTTTTTAAATCTGAATTGTCAAGTCATAAATGTCAGCAATGAAACACAGCTCTTCAACTTGCTAAATAAGCGCATGCAGACATACACACAATATGTTTAAAGGTGATTTCTGAATGAGGATATGTGGGCAGCACGTGACTTTACGGACATGCCAGGAAAAACATGTGGGAAGAATATTGTAGTCTTCTCATGACATGTGTTATCTTGAAGGGAGCAGCTGTGACTTGGCTGGCAGTAAGCCTGATGCTTTTGATATAAAGATGTATTGGCCTCGCTCAGACATTCTTTAAGGAATACAACATGTTTCGAGGAGTTTGGTTTGCCACCACAAGTTACACTATCACAAAGAAAATTAAATCACAGCAGTGTTAAATACATAACAAAAAAAAACTCTGGTAATGTTTCCTAAGTCAAACTAAATATCGCATTAATAGCTGATAGATAAAGTAGGTCTATGTCTTGCAGACTCTTATAGGTAACAAACCAAAAGTGAAGCTTACATTTACTTAGATTTTATTATTCTTTATCAGTAATGATGCTCAAAGGTTACAGAGGTGGCTGTGGCTCAGATGGTAGAGGTGGCTGTCTCTCAAACGGAAGGGGATGGGGGGGTTCGATCCCCAGCTCCTGCAGCCACATGGTGATGTGTGCATGGGCAACACACTTAACCCCAAATTGCTCCAGCTACTTTGTTGGCGTATGCATGTGCATGAATGGGATTGGTTGCTTCAAATTGTCACTTTACATAGCAGCCACTGCCATCAGTGTTCATTTTTAGTGTTGTAGTCCACACTAACCGAGACCAGGACAAGACCAAGACAATTAGTGACCGAGACCGAGTCAAGACCAAGACCAAGGCAGGGCCAGATCAATACAAGACCAAGATCATAAATATCACTGAAACATCATCAACTGGTGTCACTTACCGTAACACTGGGATGGTTGCATCAGTAACCGGGGGGTAAAAACAAATAATGAATGAATAGGAGTTATTTGTTCTTTTAAAAAGGGGCGTTTTCCTTCACACCACATGACTTTGATAAATAGCCTCTCAGAGGTGGTCTTGACTGGATTAGATTTAAAATCCAAAGTCCCCCCCAGTCTGAGACAGAGACAAGGCCGAGGAAAAATGCTTTCGATTCCAAGACGAGACCAAGACCTTCAAAAAATACAGATCTTGAGTACTACAACACTATTCATTTAGCATGGCTTCTAATGTACTAATATCTCTTTATCAGTTTCTTTTTTCTTGTCTTAATTCTCTTTTCATAGCTGTTCATTCCCCATTCATTCCTGCTCCTACCATTGCTGTCCTCTCCTTAAACTCCCCCCCCCCTTGCCTTCTCTCTTCCCTGGCTTCTCTGTTTCCCTTCCTGTCCTCCCTCCCTCCTGTCTCCAAAGGCGATCTGGTAAAGCCATTACCGTAGGAAAGGAACAGAGAACTAGCTGGCTGACAGTGTTTACCTGTGATCATAGACCCTCAATACTAGGAACCGACTGAATGGACACATTTATTGCTCCATAAAGTCAAGGTAGAAGCTGCTGCAGCAACATGTCAACGTTTTGACCTGGGTTGTAAAAGTCACCTGGTCAGTGAATAACTGTGTAATATACTGTCGCAATAAGGTTATTGGACTGATGACCACGTTTACACAAATTATAAGATACATTTATTGTGAGAAAAGGTTTAGTGTTTTTGGCCTTTTGAATGGTAGCCTGGATATTTTTTGTCTAATCTCGACAAAGATGGGGGTCATCAGAGACCTGTGGGGAACATTTCACGTTTTTGTGGTGTATCATCCCTCCTGCTGAAGTATCCTTGGCATCAATCATGAATCATATTTGATCCTCTGTTTACATTGACATATTAAAGATTTGTTGTAAGAGACGTGTTTGACGTATGAAAGGAAACAGGATGAGATTTCCATCAAAAAATATTACTTGAGTATGCACAGGACAAGATCAGCACAGACACATGACACACTGTTTTGTGCACAGGGGTCGCTGATAACGACACTAAATGAAAGTATCCCCCAGTAGCTTTAATAAATGCATCAAATGACTGTTGTATTTTAAAAAAAGGTGGATTGTGATGAATGAAAGGTACATACTTACAACTCACTTCTATGATAGATCAAATGTTATATTCGTAGTAGTGCTGTCAGTCAATTAAAAACATGAATCAAATTAAGACTTGTGATCAATTAATCGCATGTATTGAGAAAATGAGAAGGATTGCATTACAGGTAGATAGATATGTGGTCCTGCACAACCCTGTTCCACTTGGTTATATCTAGCTTCAACATTTTAATGTTACTCCGTTATTGTGAAATTAACAATTTATTTTAGGTTGCTTCCCTTCAGTTGGCGGCAGCAGAAGGTATCTGAAAAGTATTTGGAAATGACCCCATTTCTCTGTGGATTTAGTTTATAGTATTTATTGCCATCTTAAAGTCTTCATCAGTACGGCCTGGTGTTAATTGGAATATGTCCCATGTAGAGTAAAAGCAAGGATTAAGAAGGGTGTGGTTTTGGGCGTGTCAGCAAAATCACTTGAAGGATAGATTGTAAACCAGGATAAAAATGTCACAACAAGTTTTCATCCTGTTGTCCAAATACAGTCAGTTCTTGTACCACTTCATGTGTGAACAGGGAAGTCAGGAGAGGTTCGGGGGGGGGGGGGGGGGCTATCTGAAATGTTCTTGAAGAGAGAAGGAGAGAGAGAGAGAGAGAGAGAGACGAGAGAGAGAGAGATAGAGAACATTGTTGCTATCAACATGTATTTGGAATTTTAAAGAACCCACAGTCCAGGTCAAAATCTGGGGCACTTCCTGTCATTAATGTCACACACACACACACACACACACACACACACACACACACACACACACACACACACACACACACACACACACACACACACACACACACACACACACACACACACACACACACACATTCATTCACAGCTGTTAGGTGAATTAGCCTTCCTATGAGGAGCGAACACAGAGGTAGAAGTGGAAACCAGAAACCCCAAACTGGCCTCTAATGACTTCAAATATGGATCTGTGATGTTCGGTTCGACCTGTGAAACACTTCTTTTGTTTTTCTTCTCCTATTTCCTCAAAGGAAATAATTAAAGATCTTACTTTACATTAAAGCTGGCATAATCATTTGCCATAAATCACATGAATACATATCTTGTATGTCATGTCAAGTTAAAATACGTAAAAAGCATATTTAAAGAGGGGAAGACAATCGGAGCTGCAGGCACCCAGGCTGCACATGTTGTGTGAATGAATTCCATAAAATAAAAATGGACTTCCTTTTTTAAATTTCTGGATATTAACGAGCGTATTCCAATATAAAAAATATCCATGTCCATGTCATTATCTGTGAAATCATATTCGGACTCATCAACAGTATCCAATAGTGTCATTCCCCACTCTCTCTCTCTCTATCTCCAATTCTGATCCCCAGCTCCTGCAGCAACATGTCTGATGTGTCCATGGGCAAGACACTGAACCCCAATTTGCTCCCGCTGCTTTTGTCAGCGGTGTATAAATATGTATGAATGGGATGAGTTAATACCGATGGTAAATTTCCATCGCAGCCTCTACAATCTGTGATGAATGGGTGTGGATGTGTAGGTGTGACCTGCGGTGTTAAAGTGCTTTGTTTAGTCAGAAGACTAGAAAATTGCGTTACAAACTCAAGTCCATTTACTATGAGAATTACCTTACATATGTGAACACCTGCAACATTGGAGTGCACTGTATATTGTACAAATGCTGGACTGTGGATTCTTTCAAAACTGGTATTATCTCCATTAGCCCTGTACCCACCGAAATTAAAAAAAAACCAAGTACTTTGAGTTTTCTGTAGTATCTTTCATCACTACACTGATTTACACAAGTGAAAAAACAAGTTTCAGGTTACATAATTTACATATTAAGCAATACTACAGGTCTGTTGGGCAGTGGGCCCACCAGAGAATAAATCTTCATAGAGGCAAATAAGGTGGGCACAGGGCTAATGGAGACAATACCAGAAAGACTGTACAACTGTACTGACAACAACATATTGACATGGCTTTATTGTGATGGCCAATGGATGGACAGAAGCGTTTCCTGTTGGGACTAACAGGTCGTACTCGACCAATCCTCACGACCGACGTGATGACGATTGTAGGACTGACTAATGAAACAGCATTTTTTTTAGCTATAATAAACTGCCAACTGAGTGATTATAAAGTATTTGTTTGTCTATCCAAACGTTATAGGATGAATTAACCGTTAGATTGATGCTAAAGCTAACAGTTAACGTTACTCACCAGGTCGATGAAGCTCGTCCGATTTTGCTCACCAGCATTTCTCCTTTTTTTGCTGTTGTGGTAGTCCCTCTACAACAGATCATACAGACAGGGATAATGTTGCCAGAGCTCGACAAACTTTTCCTCTGTCTCATATCTCCATCTTGTAGCACCAACTTCATTATTCTTCTTTCGCTTCGCCATTTAGCTTGTTTACGCTAGTGGCTTCTGTGTTTAGAGCACTCAGAACACATCATCCAGGTCATGTTTTATTCATTAGTTTTGAGTTCATCTTCATTTACAAATCTGATGAGTACTAGTCGAGTCTAGTCTTAAAAATAAATAGACAGCTTCTCAACTTTGATAAAGATCTGTTGCTTAAGTCTGTTTACATACCTCCCTACAAAACGAGATCGACTTGAACATAGGCATGTTTGATGAGCACATATTACTTTTGTCATTGGTATTGAAAGTCTCCATGTTTTAATAAGTGGCTCCATACCATATAATATGGTCATGAGATGTATAAAAAAAATGAAATGAACCCAATCCTATGTTATATTGTTTGGTTTGTGATCTAATCCATTCATCCCTTTCTTTAGGTGTTTTAATGACGTGAGCAGTCAGACAGCCATCCAGTCATGCTGCTGTGGTGGTGTGCAAACATCTCCTGCAGGTTGGCTGCAGCGTGGTTTCCCCTGCTCTTCTCATCACTGCTATGGCAATCGGTAAATCTCAATTGAAAAAACAACTTTATCCTGAAGCATTAAAGCTAAAATACAAAACAAATTTACACTTGTGTGTGTCTATCTTCTTTTTCTTCCTTTATACCTCCACTTCTGTCTGTAGATCTCACCCATACATGCCATCCCATCCTGCCCACGGAGCTGCAGTTGTCCAGGGGTTAAAGAGGTCCACTGTACTTTCAGACATCTTACCACCATACCAAGAATATTTCCAAAAGACACTGAGCGGCTCAACCTAGGGTAAGTCAATCATTTTTCCACACACATGCACACAGTAGCATTGAGGCTTTTGTTATCAATCCATGTCCAAGGGGAAGAAAACTAAACACTCCGCAGGAAATGTGTGGAATGAGCTGTAGCTGATTTGCCAGAGAAGTGGTTTGCCTGGCTTCCAGGTAGTCAGCGCTACTACGCGCAAATAACTCACAAACTGAAATGCTTAGGTGTATGCGATTTGTCTTTTTGTGATAGCGTTTGTCTTTAGATCATATTATTTGCCATGGATCCAACAGAGAACTGGCTCTCATTAGGAGTATGGATTATACAGAATTAATTGAACAACATCTGCTTTAAGCCCAGACGTTGAGGGATACACACCAGCATGTCACTGTGAACTTACTCCTGAGGGGATAAATCTCCTAATCACTTCCATGTGAGTCTTTGTATTGTAGATCAGGCTTTAACCACCTTCATGCACAGCAGAGAAAAGACTCTGTCTAATAATTGGCTCCAAACAACACATATATACATGACAAACTGTACTTGGCAAAATCAGCCAGTGCTACACTTTATGTTGGCATGTCAGGATCTGTGATGTAAAAAGTTCTCACTTCTATTCAGGACTGTTCACAGCATAGCTCTCCAGCTCTGCATTAATGTTTAAATGGGATGGAGCAACTCAGGGGGAAAAGGTACACTCTTAATGCCACAAGAGAAAAACTGTCAGTTTTTTGTTTGATTTTTACAGTTCAGTGGCGCTTTTTGTGTATTCCAGATAATGCATTTTTGTTTCATATAGACAGCATCACACTACAGGGTCTCGATTAGGAAGACTAAGGCAGTTATATTCATATGAAATTACACCACCCCCTTCAGGCCAAAATTTTAAAAAAGTACATAAGTCATACATACTGTATATGTTTTTTGTCTGTGTTTTATGAGTTGTTTTAACAACAGCAAAGACATTGAAGAGTTGATAACCCATAGCATGTACCCATGGAGTATATTTTACAATTGCAGCTGCACATCTCCACCATCAAAAAGTAGTACAAATGGATGGTTTGATGGTAAACCATTTTTTCTTAAATTTGTTTTCCTAACGGAATAACAGAATTTAAGAGTAGACCGTTTCAGTGGGTGGGGAGGGGATACATCTTGTTGTACTTTGAGTTAGCTTTTATTAAAAGTAGAAAATATTATTTGCAGGCAAGTGTTGCTTTTGACAATTGGCTTAGGTTTCATTTACACTTTTGAGTGCATGCAATATGTGCTTTCTAAATTTGAATTTTGATTGCTAAGTTACAAAGGAAACTTGGCTAAACACAATCAGTAATGTGAAGATGAAGTCATACACTTGTAACAGTTCTTTATATGCAGCAGTGGTTGGCCTGCTTGTCTACAGCATTGAAAAAAAACTTTTTGTTATTTACTACAAATACATTAAAACCTTCCTTAAAGAGAACATCTCCACTGCCAAATATAACGTTTGCCAAGCATAGTTAGCTGATGTTGAATGGCAAATTGGTTCATCATGTTCGTATTAGTAATCCGACTTATTAGATTTTTTTCTGAAGTCATTGTTAGACAATCCTTTTTCTATCTTAGATCAATAAGTCCTGTCAATGTTTTTTTTTAAATGATCGTGTGCATTCACTGTCCATTCAAAGTTGCAGTCTGTAGAACCTCTCAGTAAAGCTCTCATTGGTTCCACAGCCGTGACAAAGATTGTCAGGAACTTGTTTTACTATCAGATGAGTCCCAGAAAGGACCTTGGAAAAATCTGGTTGTCTGGCGCTGGGGAATCACTGATGAATGTGATGTGGTCTGTATTAAACAGAATTCCTTCTCTGGTAAATATGTGGCCCAGGAATCTGCAAGTTTTTAAATGAGCAGTTTCTCTGGTTCAGTTTCAAGCCTGGACAGCATGCAATGATTACACGGTGGTCAAGGTTGTTGTGCTCTCCAGGAAAACCTCTTAGCACAAGTACATGTAGCTGCAAACTTACTTAGACTGTGCCATATACAGGGGCACAGTCTCGTCTGCATGCTTAAACTCTCCGTCTGAACTGATGGATGGTCGGCCACAACAGCATTTATCCCTGAGGGAAATTCTGGTTTACACTACAGTATGTTATTGAGAGACATGCTTCTCACACTCATAGGCACATACACACATGCACATACAGGACCTGTGGACCTGCATTGCTGGAGAGATGTCAGAGTTTCGGGCTGCTATGCAGGGACTGCAACATCTGTTGTTGATCAGCTGTTTGGGGTTTTGTGCCTTGCTCAAGGGCACTGCAGGCCTTGTACTCGAGAAATGACTTGGCACCCCTACAGCTATCAGTCCAACTTCCATATTTTGGTCTGCACTGGGACTTGAACTGGCAAACCTCCTGTTCCCAACCCAAGGTCCTACAGACTGAGCTACTGCCGTGCTAAGCATTGCGATGGCTTCATCATATGAAGTACCTGAGTCTTTCCTGCTGACGACATGAATTATCAGAACATGCAGCTCTGTGCATGCAGCACAGAGCCGCTCTTCTTCTTCTGTGGTGGAGTTTTACGGCAGTTGGAATCCATAATTGCTGCATTACTGCCAACTACAGAATTGTATCTGCATTACAGTTCAAAACACATAATGTCCATCCAAATCGATGCCTTTAATTAAACAATCCATTCAACAGTAGTGTCATGATGGACAACAGAAATAATCCGGTTATACATCAGCTAGAAATCGTAGATGTGAACCAAAGATTTTTAGCGTCGCAACGTAAGGCTGCCAGACAACTCACTGATTTTAGCTTGACAAGAAACTGCAAAATACTGACTGCCAAATGTTGGGTCAGCTTCAGTGTGATTTAAAGTACATTATGCAATCACTTGCAAATCCAGTAAACTGCAGGAATTTAACAGCTTTTAATATGGTGGAAGAGAAAGCACAGCCAGGGTTGGAAGGTCAGTTCTCATCGAGGAAACCTACTCTCAAAATATGTGAATTATTATATTGAAAGGCATTGGATGATATATTGTGAGCAGGACGTTTTATTGATGGCAGTGGAAAAATGCAAGGTCTCCCATATGTGTCCAATTGGGTAGGGATAACTGAACGCAGGGAATGTTGGATGTTTTACAGGAACTCACAGTAGAGGACTCTGCTACACATTATGGATAGGCTAGTTAATTCTCAAACATTGACATCTGCCAAATGCTGTCGATCCTTAAAAATAGTCAATGTTCTCTGTTGTGTTCCAGGACGGATATAAACTGTGGCTCTGGCATTTTCTGTTCTATGATGTTCTTGGCTGTCACTCGGTTGTATTGTATTTGACAGATGCTTTTTTTCGTAGACGGACGTTTTCTTTTTCTTGGCTATGACCTGAAGACTCTAAAGAAAGTCTTTCAACAGGTCTTTACATTTTTGATAGCAAGTATAGTTTTCCAGGGCCCTATGCACAAAGATATTGACAGTTTAAAGTGTTACAGTGATGCTGTTTTTGACAGGGCAATACTTTTGATATTTTCCCCTTGAGTTGAAAGGTAACAAGGCCAAGACACACATGCAAAAATCTACTTCTAACTTGTTGTGTTTTCCTTTCCCTCGGACCCCACAAGTGATCCTTGGTTTCTCTTTCATCACAGTAACTGGTCCTGTTTATTCTCTCTCTGTTACAGTTATAACAGCCTGACAGAAGTGGAGGGGTCAGAGTTCAGGTCACTACAGCAACTGGAAATGCTCATGTTGCATGGCAATGACATTAGCACAGTCCACCCTGGAGCATTTTACAGCCTGAGATCTCTACAGGTAAAGTCTCTATGTGTGTGTTTGACTGTCTGTGTGTGTGTATGTGTGTGCATCAAAATGGACCAAGAGCAGTCCTGAAAGAGTTTTGGCACACCTGAAGTGTTAGCTTCAGGAACAAAAAACTCTGCTATTTTTGCAGAAAATACAATAACTACAGAGAGGGAAGACTTGGAGCCACCGCTAACATACAATGATGATGATACTATAGGCATTTATACTTGAAAGGCCTTCTTAGATGGCATCCCTGCTCCGAGAGAAAAAATTTAAAAAGGATTTAGAGCCATTCAGTCTAAACGTGACGGACCACAAAACTGCATTGTGATATTACAAACATGTTCTTAGAAATGTTAACTTTGATTGTTTTCAGCAGTAGTCTCTATGTAATTACCTCCTTAATACCAGTTATATGAACCCCAGAATGTACTAAAATGACTTACTATGACCTTGTTTGTCATCCCGTCTTCAGCACCAAGTTGTCAAATACCTAAGGTTTTTATACAAACCCACATGGTACCCTTTTGCACCTGCATGACACCCACTTGTCCTTTAACCACCTCAAATGTAAATCAATGCACAGTAACAGCAGATAAAAGTAGCTGCTCTTAATGGTTAAGAAACAGGCAAAGCTTTGTTGAAGTGGTTATCAAGGACAGACCATTTAAAACAGGACCTTGGGTTAGGATAACCAATATTCTTTCCTAAACTTAACCTTTTTTATTCTGACAGTGCCGAACAAAGTGCTGCTGAATGTCTCTGTAACCAATTTAAGTTAAAACCTCTTAAAGGTCCTTGTTTTATAAGGTCACCATACCTGTCTCTTAAACATAGCTGGAGCTATTTATTGCAAATGTGACCATGTGAGAATACATTTTCCAGGTATAATGAGTCAAACAAGTGTGAGTCTTTCATTGTGTGAAATGTTTTTTTTTCTGTAATACATTAGACGAACAACATTGTGGAAAAAGACTGATCGATGTGTAAAAATGAACACTTGCTAAAACCAGAAGAACATATTTTTGTGCAGAATAAGAGCCAAGTCAAATCTTCCCTTGCCTAAATCCCATTAAAGTAGGTAATTAGTTGCACATTGTTGGCCTAACAACACATGCAGCAAGTCTTGTCGGGCCCAGATGGGTTTAATGACTATCTAAATTTGCATAGTTAACACTAGGCAACTTCATCACCCATTCGATATCAGAGCCCTTGTTGAATAATTGCTTATAACTTTGATGTCATATGAATGTCTTTTCATGAAACTTATTCATTTTTTTTTCAGATCTTGAAGTTGAGTTACAACAAGATCACATCAGTGAACCCTGGTCTGTTCGAGGGTCTTATTGGTTTGATCCGTCTCCATCTGGACCACAACCTGATAGAATTTATAGAGCCATATTCCTTCTCCGGTCTTACCTCCTTAAAACTCCTGCAGCTGGAGGGAAACCTTCTCCAAGAGATCCACCCTCATACCTTTATAACGGTGTCACTACTAGGAACCTTTTGGACCTCTGGACTCAAGTAAGAAGTTAATTTAATTACTGAAGATGTGGATGTTTTTTTTTATTTTTAAGAAATTCAAATATCTGTTTTAAAATCACTTTGGTCAAACGATTGAAGCTTCTATCCGTTTATATAATTCAGTTTGTCAAACATTTAAATTTTTTAATCACGATTAATAGCTACACTTCATTAGTTAATCGCAATTAATTGCATGTTACAAATTCCATTATATGGCAGCATTTGGGGTTAGTAAGGTAACTTCAGTTTTACCCTGGGTATTCAGTCCTATGAAGGTGGTTTACTTCTTACCTGGGTATATTGCCATGGTAACTTATGCTGCAGACCTAACCTGGTCCGGAGCAGAATATGTTCGGGATAAGAGATCAACCTGTGAAAATCTTAGATTTCTTGATCGTGGAGTCCTGTGATCGAGAGAGGGGCGGAGGGAGAGAGAGAGAAACACTTTTACATATAATATTTTACATATAATCATTAAAGTAAATAATCACTTTTTACAGATATCATACTTCATTCTTGACAGAGACTGGAAAAGCACCGGAGCCTTTAGTTATATTTTTAAGATCTAAAATTATGAATAGACTTCTGAAAGATTTGAATGACATTTTCCTTTCAATTTTTAGTGTCTCCATGCCACTCTCTTTGTTATCGTTAGAGCTGCAGCTGAAATATAACTTCTCAAACTGTTATACTCGCCTTATGAAAAGTCAGAGCAACACATTCAGTTAAGAGAAAAAACAGGAGTTATTATAGTCAGTTCTAAGGCGAACTAAAGATGGGAAAAAATATAATAAGCCATAGTTTGCACTTTGATACTCGCCAATGTTTACATTTCTCTGCCAGTTGTCCTTCCTGCATTTGTTGCTGCAGCTGTGTAACTTTAGTCTTTGGGAGCATATTTGCATATAAGGTGGTTTTATTGGTCACACTAATGGAATCAAAATTGAACCCGTGGAGTGTATTTTATAATCATGTTTAAAGCACATAGAAACTGCAAATTGGTATAATTACTATTTTTATATGCAAATAATTAAAAAAAATATGTAATGCTTTCGTCCCAGACATTTACATCTGTCAGACAATCTCTTGGAGCAGCTTCCTGCTGCAGCACTGAAGACAGCTTCCAGGCTGGAGCTTCTCACTCTACATGGTAATCCCTGGACCTGTGACTGTCAACTCCACTGGTTGGTAGAGTGGAGCTCGTCACACGAAGGTAGGGACCCAAATGAATACTGTAGCTGTGTGGAATAACTTGAAAATACAGAATTCTTTAACTCTTCAATTCAGTTGTTGAAAGATTTCAGTAAAACACTATAAAGTTTGTAGGATGACGGAGTCCATTTAAGAACTGAACATTTTTGACCAAAATGTAGCATTGTGCAGTATGAAGTATGCAAACAAATCACAGATTGTAGTATGCCATTACAGCTAGATGTGGTACAAATGGAAAGAAAATCCGGTATGTAGTTCCAAACAACACTGCCCACACTGTAAGCCACTATGCAAAATGCAGGACCGTTGTCAACAACTGTTAAACACTCTGACCTCAACAGCTGACCATCACTCAGAAAGTTTCATTAATGGGCACCCAGTTTGACTGAAACACTGTCACACTGGTAAATACAGATATAGATAAGTGCAGCTTCCAAAACACCAGAAACACTAGGAGAAATGACTAGCTCCAACAAAGCTCCAACCAAAGTAATGCAATAACATGCAGGCTCAACTTGTCAATTGCATCAAGCTGAGGTACCTAACATATGGGAAACTCATGACAATAAACATCCTCCTGCCAGGTAAACTGTGGACAAATGAATGGGGGTATAGGAGTTTTGTGTCACACTAAGGGCAAGGCTTACATAACAACCATTAAATGGGAGTTAGACGAGTGTTTCTGACCAGAAGCTGGAACATTGTACCGGCAGAAAATGTTACATATGAACATATGAAGAACAAATGGACTACATGCAATCCATATTAAACTCATTAAGTTGTTGACTTCTTCTTCTTCATTTTTGTTACATATGCTTTGTCTAGTTTTTTATTACTTTGTTGAGTTTTCATGGATGGATCTTAAACCACTCCAATATGTTAGTTGTTTGTATCAACAGAGGAGTTGATAATAAATCATTTTTATTACCTCCTTCTGTGGAAACAAAGGGACTGTGACTGCCAGATCTTTATGAGTTAATGCATGAACCTAAACTGAACTCAAACTCATGAAAGCAGGAGACAGTTACTGCATTTTCCAAAATACCTTATATTACCCATTTCTTTTTTGCCCTTTTTCTTAAAATGTTCCTTATTTTCCCTCACCCTCACCCCCTCCCACCCCCACCCCACATTCGACTTCTCAACTCCTTCCCTCATATCCTTTCTCCTCCTTTGTCTCTATGTTGTTTACATTTTACCTTTTCCCTCCCTTACAATCTCTCTCTCCCTTTCTCTTTCTCCTAGGTATAATAAAGTGCAAGAAGGAGCGTGGCTCCAGCGAAACCTGCCCCCAGTGCTATTCTCCTCAAACCCTAAATGGAACTCTGTTGCTTGGATTAGCTTCTGACAAACTAACCTGTGTGCCTCCCGCTCTTCGGTCCCCCCTCAAAAAGTGGGACAATCCTGTGTGGGCTGAATCTGAAGCAGAGCCTGACCTCCCGTACACCAGGGACTTTGAGAAGCCTTTGGGGCATCTGACCTTTGTTCTGTCTGACAGCCATGGAAACAATGCTCACTTGGCATGCGATGTGCGTCACCCTGGAGACAGCTTACCCATGACCTGGACAGTAAATCCACTTTCACCTCGGGAGGTATCTGTCAATGTCTCATTAATGACTGCCCTTGAATGTGAGATTGACCGAGAGACGTTGCAAAATCTGTGGCAATTGGTTGCATACTACTATGAAAGCCCTGCCATCCTGGAGAGAGGTCATCTGAGAGGAAATGACAGCAGAGTTACCTATCAATATGCACAGGTTGTTAATGAAAACTCCCCATATTTCACTGATTTAAAGGGGTATTTGGTAGCAGAACCCTCATGGTTGCTTCAACCAAGAGTTACTTTAAAGCTCAACAGAAAGCAGACAACAACCAAGAAACTGGTTATGGATTTTAATACTGTAATCACAAGACACATGAGCAGTAATACAGGGCAGCAGGATGACAATGAATCTGCCCCGTCCTGGGCTCTAATTCACAGAAAAACAGCAGGGCGGATTCAGACTGCTCTTGATGGTTCAAAGGTTCAATTAGAGTGTCGTGTTGTCACTTCAGATCCTGAGATAAAAATTGAGTGGATGCTTCCAGATTTGTCCATTGCTGAAGAAGTAACTGATAAAATAGAAATTTCTCAAAGAGGAGAACTTGTGATTTTAAATGTCACACTGTCCGACTCAGGTCTTTACCACTGTATGGTCAGAACCAAAGCAGGAGTGGACTTAGTGCCTTTAAGGCTCACTGTGAAAGAACGCTCACTCGGGCCCACTGCTTTCAATGGTCAGAAAATCATCGTGGAAAAGGGACAATCTTTTTCTCTCCCTTGTGACGTTACCACAGTCCAGCCCAGTCAAACTATGTGGTACCTGCCCAAAAACCAAATTCTTCTCCCCACACAACAGACAAGACGAGCAGAGGTAATGGAAAATGGGACTTTGGTGGTAAAAAAGTTGACAAAAGAAGATGCAGGAGAATACAGCTGTTTAACCTCAAATCTGTATGGAGTTGACATGCTGTCTCACGCAGTGGAAGTCACAGAAAAAAAGGCTTCTGATCGATCCAAAGAACAGCAAATTTTGCCATTTGCTGTGGAGGAAGGAGAGGGTTCAGGGGGCGATTACCAAGAAATTATACGTCCTTTTGCTACGCAGTTCCCCAAGAAGCTGGGAACACAGCAAAGAAATCCAAATGGTTTTTCAAAAAGGATAGGAATTAAAGATTCAAAAAGAAAACCAGCTAAGGAATTTGATCTTAATCATTTGGAAGAGATATCTACTAAAGCTAAACCAAGTGTTTCTATGCCTACAAAGCAGTCACTACCAGAGCCAAGCACAGTTTCCTTCCATACAGTTACATCCAAACATTTCACTACACCTGCTTTTACAATTTCTTCCAATACTTACAACTTAGTCCCTACCACAACCCCTTCTGTTTTAAGTATACAGCAAACCAATTTCCCCATAAATAGAAAAACAACGAATTACAACTTTTCTACAAAGAAAAATGTGGACACTGAAAAAGATTCAAAAATGTCAGAAAGTCAGTCAGAGGTTTTGCAACATCCAACTCCAGAATCAACACCACTCTATATTGTTGTGAGCACAGAAAAAGCAGCAACAGTCACAGACCATTCTGGTGTTAGAATTCCTCAACCTGTCGAACAGTCAAAAAATCAGCAATCAGGAGAGGGGAGAAGGAAATACAACCTCATTCCTAATCAGTCAAACAGGAGACGGCCACCTTATAGGCGGAGAAAACCACCATTGAGAAGGGTCCATCCGCATTTGCACCCCTTCCACCATTCATCAGTCAAGCCCCAAAGACCTGTTCCCCCAACAACAACCACACCGACAACAACAACAACTACTACCACCACTGCTACCACCACTGCTACTACCACTGCTTTGACTACTACTTCTTCTGCTACTACAACTGTGACTGAAAATGAAATTGTCTCTGCAGAGTATCAGACTGAGGAACATGAAGATGATTACAATGAAGAATACACTTACAAGCATACTGATGGTTCAGATGCAGGGAAAGATTTAAACAGTGTAACTCCTACCACTACGGAATTTATTACCACATTTTTACCAGAACAAGATTCCAAGGAAGGTAGCTCTCAAAGTGAACATAATTTACCTTACCCAAAAACAATTGTCACTCCAGAGCTGGACAGTATCCCCCATCCAACTGAAAGGGCATCTGAAGAAAAGGAGAGAGACACTACTGTTAACAAAAACACAGAAGAACACAAAAACACAGATTGCAATGACAAAGACACAGAAAAATCTGATAAGGAGAGGGTTTCACTGAACAACAATTCCCCAGATAGCATTAGGTTGTCAACACAAGATAGATCAAGATCTAACACCAGACCTTCACAAGAACAAAATACACCAACTCAAACAAGAGATTCATCTTCCAAGACTATTACTTCACATTCATCAACAGGCAGAGCAAGAGAAGAAGTCAAAAAGGGAGAGGACAAAGAAGTTTACAAGCCAGAAACAAAGATGGAAATCCATAGATTCCCAGTCATGGAACCAGTTCATCCCTGGCTCCATCAGAGCAATAAGGGAGGAGGGCAAAGTACTACTTCAAGACCAACCCCTGCAAACCAAGACAAAATTAGACAGAGACAAGGTGGAGTGAATTCAGGCAGGCATTCCCAGCTTCCCAGTGTCCTCCCGACCTCTCGCTGGCCTTCTTACCATCATCAACATCACCACTACCCCGTGTACCCTTACTGGCCAGGTCAAAGATCATTTACCCCTCCAAGGCAAGGTAAATGATGCACTTTTATACTTTTTTGATTTAAGGTATTATAGAGACAGTGATGACTATCAGAATGCAGGGATAAAGTTGAATTAACAAATGCTCTCTGTATCCAGGGTCTGGGTTACAACCCATGCCCACATATCGACCCTGGCCCCTCCCCCACCCCTGGGCAAAAGACCTGGTTGTCACTAACCGTCCAGAAATCACAGCTGAAACAATGAAGCCTACGCCTACCATTTCTGCAACAACAGGAAACTCCAGGCACAGAATCTCTCATCCCAACCTGCCGAATCATCATCTTCATCAAAATCATCATTTTGATGGTACAACCCAAACCAGAGATCAACTCTTTTTTGTAAGGCTGAGGAACAGATACAGACAGGTATGATAAAGTCTAATTGTGGATTAATGCATTTCTAACTCAAATAGTTGTGTTTAAATGTTAAATAGATGTGATGCAATTTAACATAGTTTTAGAAACGACTGTGTTCAGAGTTTGTAACAGTTGCTAATCTCCACCTCTTATCTTGAGTTGGGGCTAACATGGACTGGCTTGACCTTAAGCGGCTTCTCAAGAATATGCACCTATATTCTCACACCAACATTATATCATGGCCCCAAGAGGTTACCACAACAACAAAGTGCCATTAAGAGGAGCTAGTCTTAAAATAAACTGGATCACTTCCAGGTTAATGGGTCTAAACTGTATGAAGTAATCATTTTCATCTGGATTTTTCAGGCGCAGCTTGATCGCATTGCTCAGCTAGGGAGGACTGTGACACCAAAACCCCGCTCAAGCTTCCACAATCCTCCCCTTTCCATTCCACCTAAAATTCATAATCAATCTCCATATAGACCCTACATCCCCAAACCAGCAGCCACAGCATCCTACACCTACACCCTGCAACCTCTTAGGCCTGCTCAACCCTCATCATCAACTTTCTCTGGCTTCACAACCTCTCGTCCTTACCACTCCACAACCCCCTGGGTACCTTATGGAGGTCGATGGCCTGTTGGAGGTAGTTGAATAATAGAAAAGATGTTGGCTATGTATTTGATGTTGAGGCGTAGTGAATGTTCATATAATGTAACAAACTGGATTACTTGTGTGTCACTTTTATGGATAGCAAATGAAAATGTATGTTGTGGTCAGTGAATATGTCAGATTGATAGCAATGTGAGGCCGCAAGCCTGTCCGTCACCCCTGGTACCTATGACAGTGATCTGTTCAAGATATCACGCCTGTTATCTGGGGAAAGAGTGACAGAGAAATTGGCAACTTGGTTTGCTTCCAGTTGGTGTGATTCTTAAAACTAGAGCTAAGCTGACAGAGTGGTACAGCCCACAGTAGCCTATTTTTGAGTTTGGACAATCAAATCTCTTCAAATTGTATTAAATAATTTCTTATCATAACTTTTTATTACTGTGTCACTGTAGCAGGTCGAATCAGTTCTCGACGACCCACAGCTGCACCTCCTTTTCGCTTGGTGTTGGGAGCTGAAGGTGATGGGGTGAAGGCACGTATTACCACTATAGCCACAGCTAGTGTGTCAGTACTGGCAGAGAGTGATGTGTTCCTACCCTGCAAAGCAACAGGGAATCCTGAACCCAGCATTGCATGGACCAAAGTTTCAACAGGTAAGACATGGAGAAACAAAAGCCAAAGACAGAAAAGTGTAAATATAGAATGTCAGTAAATAAGGCAATCCCAGAAAAATGTTATACATTCTGCATTGGGGTTTTCTTTGCATTTATCTAATTGCCCCCTATCAAAACTGTCTCACAGTTTTTATAGTTATTATTGTATTATCAAAATGTCAGAGAATTTTATTAAATGTGCCATAATTGGTTTCAGGATTTTAATCTCTTGATCCTTTCTGTCCCCCCTCCCAGGGGCCACCATCCCAGCCAATGCCAAACATGGTACTCGTTTTGAAGTTTTGAAAGATGGATCTTTTGTTATTAAAAACATCCAGCTTCAGGATAGAGGCCAGTATCTATGTACGGCCCAGAACAGGTTTGGATCAGATCGTATTGTCATCACCTTAGCTGTCCAGACTGAGGCACCCAAAATCCAGCCCCCAAAGTCCACACAGATGGCTGTTTATTTGGGTAAAAGAGTAACTCTCGACTGCTTTGCCTCGGGGAAACCACCTCCCCAAATTTCCTGGATTCTCCCAGACAGGACATTTGTACGTGAAGTCGGGACAGTTCACAGTCTCCTTTCTCCAATGTCCCTGCTTCAAAATGGGACCCTGCAAATTCATTCTTCCAATTTCTCCAGCAAAGGAGACTACAAATGTATTGCAAGCAATGCAGCAGGGGCAGATACAATAACTTATTATCTTCATGTGGCAGCACTACCTCCAAGCATCAGTGAAGGTGGAATGGATACTGTGATCATTCACCCAGGTAATCTACAATAATTCACACAAAAACAGTTCCCCAAACTTCCTTTAATAGAAAATAAAGTTGGCAAATTAACAACATGTAAAATTAAATAATAAACTCTCTTTGAACAGGAAGGAGTGTGTATGTCCACTGTTCTGTGGTGGGAGAACCTGTGCCCACTCTGAAATGGATGCTTCCAGCAGGTGTTACTGTTAAGGCATCCCAGTTCCTTGGTCGCCGGCTTTTTGTCTTTCCCAATGGGACGCTGTTTGTGAAGAATATTTTGCCAGCTGATGCTGGAAGGTATTTTTGCAATTCTTTGAGTCTTTTTCTTTCACGATTTTCCTTTCTTTCAATGTAGTTCTTGGATTTCAGGTTCAATATCAGATAATTAGTTATGTTTGGCTGGCTGCAGGGAGAATTGTAGGTGGTTGGAGAAACACATTTGCAAAATGTAAAACAAAAACCAGAGCTCATAGTAAAAAAGTTACAACAAGGTGTTGAAAGCTGACTCCAAAAGCAGGAGCAAGGGAGAGACATGAAGAGAAGAGCAAAAATCACTGAGGAGGGAAGAGAGGGATACTCTGTTAATCTTAGGGAAGTCCAACTGCTGCCTTAATATAAATAGCCTGCATATGCGGGTACAACCAACACAGAAAATGGAGGTTATTCAAGTAAAGCTGAAGTTTTTTATACAAACAATGCATGTTTTACCAAGTACAGGGAGGTATTCTATAGGCCTATAACATTTGTTGTCAGAAAATGAGTACCATCAGGCAAAGTTTTAATATCCCAACATAAAGATGATGATACTAAGCTGCCAGTTTGTTAAAAATCTTGATGCTGTGGTTGATCCTTCCACAGGTATGAATGTTTGGCCACTAATACTGTGGGCATGGCTAAAAGAACCGTCCAGTTGGAGGTCAGGGCAGAGTCCTCTCCCTTCTTCCACCAGCCTCCTCCTTCTCTTCCCATCCCTCACTCCCACCACCTTGGTGCTCCGTCCCGCCAGCACTCTGTCTCAGCTATGTATGGTTCTGCTGTCTACCTTCACTGTCCTGAGTCAACTGGTTCCACAAGAGGGACCATCTGGCAGCTACCCTCCAAGACCATCATGGAACATCAATACAGGTAACTAACTTTTGTAAATTCACAAATGAGTACAATGCTCAAAAAATTATAAATACATCAAAGGGTTGTCAATTTAACAAACTTATTCGACTGGTAATTTATTTTCCTTTCCTTCTGCAGTCCAGAGAGACCAATCAAAGTTTTCCGTAATGGGACTCTGAGGATTCTTCAGCTAACCGAGCTGGATGGTGGGAATTATCTATGTGTCTTTCAGCGGCCCAATGGGGAGGATATAGAGCTCTTCCAGGTATGAACAGTATAGATCATCATGACTTCAGGCAGGTTCTTTCTGCTATCTACTCTTTTCCATAGGCCTTTGTTAATCTCCTGCTGAGAACACTTTTGTTTCATGTCTATTTTGTCAATAACTAAAGAAGTCATTGTTTGAAAGACAACTTACAATTGCCTTCCTTCAATAGTTAAAATTGAGGTCCATCCTCATATTCAAGTAGGGTTTTATAAAAATTCGGCTGTTTATATTCACATATAGCCTAAAGCCCCTCCGGGTAGCCTAATTTCCGGAGTTTTTCAGGAGTATTCCGTATGTGTGAAAAGGGTTACAGTGGGATATTCAGTGACAAAGTCTATCTCTGTATTTAACAGCTTTCACAAGAATATTTTCAACTAAAAAATCCTTAATGTATTTGCTTATAATCCTTTGTGTTTTTGCTTTCTCAGGTGGAGGTGGTAATGACCCCTCCTAAAATTGAACATGTGAGGACTGCGCAGACCCGAGTCACCTTTGGTGAAAATTTCCGGGTAACTTATGGGGAGCCATCACAAAACTTTTTTAATAAAATAGGGCAGATCATACATTAAAGGCACTTTTCCAAATCAGCTATTTTAGTATTTTCCATTGGTTTTATGGAAATTATTTGACTTTATAAGTATGTATAAATAAGATTTCATTTAGGTCATCATGGACATCTAACACCAAAAGGATTAGCTATTATTGACATGTCATAAAGTGGTCATGTTACCACCATATAGTTTATAACAGATGGGAACCATTTCCTTTGTACACATCCATTGATACAAATTATTAATATTTACTTGGAGTTAACATTGTCAAATTTTCCCTTTGATATTTCTGGTTTGGCCTCAAACAACTCATGTAAGAAATATCTGTCACATTAGAAACTCAATAGAACAGTTGAGTATTATGCACAAAGTAGTATGCTGTCTGCTGTGTGGTCTCTGGCAGGTCACGTAGAGTTTGGTTGATCACTTGTCAGAGATTTACACTTGAAACAGCAGTGGTTGGAAATGGGATTAAAGAAGGCTGAGAAGTAGAATCTGTCTGTACAACCCCACAAAACCCTAACTTACCACAAACTGTTCTTTTATAACTCATAGATCTGTTGATATAAGATTTGACAAATTTAAAAAGCCAAAAGGGGATGTTCAGACTCACATTTTTATAAACAAGAAATGAACATGCAGCCCCACAAATAATTTAAACATGCCAGTTGTTTTATTTCAACTTTAAGCAAATGTATTGCACTCTAGAAATACTTAAATCATACTAATCTCTCAAACCTCCAGAACAAGAGACTGTGCCATTATCAAAGGGACAAAATAAAACACAGTTCAACATTTACCAATTACATTTTTATTCAGAAATGTGTCTAGATTTTCTACCACTTCTACTCATTTTGTAAATTTCTCTCCCTTTCAGGTGGACTGTGTTGCAACTGGCCTCCCTGATCCAGATGTGTCCTGGGGTCTTCCCGATGGAACTTTAATTAACAATGCACTTCAATCAGACGACAGTGGCCTTCGCAACCGCCGCTATGTTATTTTTGGCAATGGAACTTTACTTCTACATCAGGCAGGGAAAAAAGACGAAGGGGACTATACCTGCTATGCCAAAAACAAACTTGGAAAGGATGAAAGAAAAGTGAGTCTCATGGTGGGACCCGTTGCTCCAAAGATAAGATCAAAAATACCATCAGTGGTGACAGTAAAGTTAGGAGAATCAGCCAAATTTAGTTGCCAGGCAAGGGGTGAACCTACACCAACAATTATGTGGATCTCACCAGGAAATGATGTGATACCAATCTCATCAGGAAAATTTCAGATCATGGATGATGGGATGCTTGTAGTGAAAAAAACATCACTGGCTGACGAAGGTAAATATGCATGTATAGCACGAAATGCGGCTGGTGACGATGTTAAAAACATGAAACTTGAAGTAGAACCACAGGAACCCTTTATCAATGGCATGAAAGGGAAGAGCACCACAACAGTTTTGGCCGTGTTCTACCAAACAGTTCTTCTGGATTGCAGAGTGGAAGGAAAACCCAAACCACGAGTCTGGTGGGTTTCTCCTCATGGCCACTCACTACCAACGCCCTACCTGGGAGGTCGCTTCCAAGTCCACTTGAACGGAAGCTTGGAGCTGAGAGGAATGAGGAGAACAGATGAAGGGAGGTACACGTGTCTGGCTAAAAACGATCTTGGTGAAGCTTCACTTTTGGTTGAATTAGACGTAGCATCACTAGCTGAGAAACCAAGTTTTGCTTTTCCAAATATTGAAATCTTACCATTAAAGCAAGATAGTGGGCCGCTGATCCTGGACTGCCCTGCACGTGGCAAGCCGAAACCAGAGTTTGCGTGGGTTCTACCCAATGGGACAATGTTAACACCTGGTGTTCGACTCCATCGTTTCACACATCATCTGGGGAATGGAAGTCTACAGATTTCTCAAGCAGTTGCAAGTGATAAGGGAGTGTACCGGTGCCTTGCAAAAAATGTGGCAGGACAAGCAGAAAAACGTTACGCACTGGAGACGGGCCGAAAGCCAGTGATCAGAGGATCTACAGGTAAGTTTTTTCCATCAAAGATAATGAAGAATACACTTTTTGAGAGACTAAGGGTGTTTAAGACCAAAACAATATTTTTGCTCTTCCAAATTGTTGAGTCCAAAAGAGGTCTTATGTCACCAATATTCCAAGGAGGAAATAAGCTCCTTGTTAGTCTTGATTCTTTGCTCATTGCTAACAGCTATCGGTTTAGCTTAGCTTGAACGTGTGGAATTCACCTGGATATCAAGAAGATTAAGGCTTGTTTATGGACCCACCAAAACTGAAGTGGTGTAAGGTGTGTGACCTGAGGGTCTATTGTTAGTTGTTTTGATCCACATCCAAGAATTAGGATGGCTGACCAAACAAGACAGGTTTGAAAAAGCCATAAAATAATAGAAAGATTATATGGAAAGCTGTTGACATATTTGTATCTTACGTTGTAAAAATGAATTTATAATGACTTTGTTTTAATTGCACTTTCCTAGGGGGGGTGAAGATCAATTATGGCTTAAATCTCAACTTGCCATGCACTGTGGACGGCTGGCCTCAGGCGTCAATCACATGGAGTCTACCAAATGGACTTGTTTTGGATAAACCTCAAAACATGGGCCGAATATCTTTACTCTCCAATGGCACCCTCCAACTCAGGCAGGTGTCCACGTTTGACAAAGGAACATACATTTGTAAAGCCTCCAACTCTTTTGGTTCATCAACACTATCCTACCCAGTTGCAGTGATGGTTTTCCCGCCACACATCACCAACACTCTGACCTCAATCACAAGAGTCAGCAAGGGATCACCAGTGACGTTGAACTGTGTTGCGACAGGTATTCCCAAGCCGGATATTTCATGGACACTGCCTGGACGCACAACTCTGGTTCCACATAACCGGTTCACGGTCCAAGGAGGGATTCACATGACAGAAGAGGGCAGTCTGGTCATACAGAACCCTGTACTCATGAACTCTGGTATTTACAAATGCAATGCTAAAAATGCACTTGGAACAGATTTTAAATCTACCTACCTGCAAGTGGTCTGAGTTGCCACTATGTGTTCTCTTAGGAAATCCCAACGCACAATTACAACCTATAGAGGATTTTCTCCTCAGGATTGGATTTTACAGCATAACAAAGACTTACCGACTAGTGGCTCGGTTTGAGTCACAATGAAAAGCAGCTTCCACTGAGTAATGTTTCAAAGTTTTGGATGTGGACGTCCTATTACACTTTCTCCTTTTGGGATTTTAACTGCATTTTTTTGTTGTATGGTCTAAATAATGACTATAAATAAAAGTATAAATAATAATTTGTAAATCTACATTTCTGACCTGTAAATGCATTGCATCTCCTCAAAGTGCTTTAATGATTGTTAAAGGTGTGCATCTCTGGCCTTTACACATATATTTATTGTTACATTCTGCTCAACATAAAGTGTTTCAAGTTTACATCATATTACAATGCAATGAAAAACTCAACATTCTTCTCTCCTTGAGATTGGAAAATCCTAATGTAATGTGTACTCCTTATATGGTTGTTATTGTTGGTGTTCTGGTAAAACCACAGTAAACGGTTTTTATAGCAGACATGTATCACACCTTCAGTTTAAAATCCAGCAGTAATGAGAAATGGAATTTGGGTTCTGCCGTTGTACACGTGTGTTGGTGCCATATTTTTCAGTGAGCAGTGACTCTTCAAATGCTCTTAATGAAATTCAAATGCTTGATAATAGCGCTTGTTATGCCCCATCAACGGGGGGCCAAGACACAACAAGAAGAAAGGCCCAAATCCCTCACTTCCCAAGCAGCCACTGAGAATAGTTTACATTTTTAACCAGAACATTTTTTATTTATTGTTACAGAAATAATATGCAGGGTTATATTGGTAAATTGACTTGAGCTAGTATAGTACACCCATTCACACACTGATGGCAGAGGGTACAATTCGGTTTAAGGGTCTTGCCCAAGAACAGATCAAAAATGTTGCTGCAGAACCTTCCGGTTAAAAGACAAGCGACTCCTACTCATACACATGCATACGCTGCCGACAAAGCAGCAAGAGCAACCTGGGATTGAATATCTTGCACATCAGGAGCTGGGGATCGACCCCCAACCTTCTGGTTGAGAGGTGACTGACTCTATCAACTGAGCCACAGCCACCCCAAATATATTAGTGACCATATGAATAATTAAGCCAACCAACTTACCTCCCTAACTAAACAAAAACATGTGAAAACAAGGTACAAGGTTGGCGGGAGAAGGAAATTGATGGCCAATCGGCTCCTGGGGCTGGCAGACCTGTATACATACAGGAAGACAGCACAGACACAAACAATACAACCAACGGCAAGAAAGAATTACTGTTATGACCACAGTCGTAACACAGCTTTCCAGTGTGTATTATTGAATCAATTACTGTCTGTTGATGTCATTTATGCAATTACATAAAGTTATAGCTAATACTACTTATGATATGAACTTATTTTACTCATTTAGCGTTAAGTGGCAATAAAACAAAAAGGGAGCACATCAGAATACTTTAGCAAATAATATATTGTCTTTTCTTTAACCTTTGTCTTATTGTTGCTGTACCAAATCAACAACAGATAGTTTTATTATTAATATTGTTGTAATGAGTATTAATAAATGTCATGTCTTTCTGACGCTTTTTTGAGCTGTTAAATCAGTGTTATATCTGCATTTCAGTGGTTTACAAGGGTGTTAGAAGTCAGTGATAGTTGGGAGTGCTGAGGGAAGTCGGTCTATAATATAGACCAGTGGTTCCCAAAGTTGGGGTCGGGACGCCCCAGGGGGTCGCAAGACACTGAATTCTTCCAAACCCATATCAAATTACTTAAAATTGCATGTTTTACCCATTATTGTCAAAACATATGAAAAAAAAATATCAAGAGATTAATTCTTCTACCATTACGAAAATATTATTACAGTGTTCAGGCTGTTCTTTTGTGTCGCTCTAATTCCAGTGTTTGGATAGTGTACCCGGCTGTGCACAACGGTAAATGTTTTAACCACTTCCATGGACAGAGTGGGTCCCTAGTCTCCAGCACCTTATTTTTGAAAAGTTTGGGAACCCCTGGTCTATATGATCTCTATGATCATACAACAGCAATCCCCCATCTGTGAAATTGCTTTGTTTCACTTGTAATGAGATATAACAAACTTTTTTTTTGCTTATCATATCCACTTATTTTAGAAATTACAGCTTGAGTGGCATCTGCTGCCTAGATGCAGAGTTCAAAATGCTCCAGCAACACTTGTAGTACGAAGATCCACTTTATTAACAAAATAGGCCGACACGTTTCGGCTCACGACCCTGACGAAGGACAAAAACTTAAACGTGTTGGTCTGTTTTGTTAATAAAGTTGATCTTCATACTACAAGTGTTGCTGGAGCATTTTGAACTCGTCGAGCGTTTCACTCTTCATGCGCCTTGTTATTTGGTCTGCTTTTTCAGTCTATAGATTCATACAGAAGTAGAAGCCATGACTGTCATTTCGTGGTAAAGTCAGCTTTGAAAAAGAAGTCTGTTGACTCATAAAGGACAAAAGATGATCTCGGTTGTTGCCCTATGTTTGCATGCTTTATTTTTTCTGTATGGTTGTTTAACCAGAGCCACATTGGAAAGTGTTTAAAAAGAGGAATACTATTTAAATGTGTATATATGCATCCAAATAGTGTATATGGAAATGTATGCTATGTTTCACTGAAGGTTTGTGTTCCCTAAAATGTCCCACTGAGCCGTGCTTCAAGACAAACAGGCCATTCAACAAAGAAAAGGGAGCTTTGTGAGACACAAGCATCGGGATTGTTTGACACAGCAAGCGTCTATGTGTGTGTGTGTGTGTGTGTGTGTGTGTGTGTGTGTGTGTGTGTGTGTGTGTGTGTGTGTGTGTGTGTGTGTGTGTGTGTGTGTGTGTGTGTGTGTGTGTGTGTGTGTGTGTGTGTGTGTGTGTTTCTTTGAGATGGTGTATATATCTGAGGAAGAGATTGTGTTTGTGTGAGTGATTGTTCAACACAGTGAGTGCTGTTCCTATATGTGTGACTGTAACAGTGTTTGTTGTGCGACTGTAAGGACACTGATGTAGAGAGGGGAGCGTCTCTAAGTGTTTGAGTATTTCTGTCTGCATTTCAGTCTGATATCAACAAACAGGGAGTGTAGTGTTGATTTACTCGTGCCGTTAGTCCTAATGGGAGCAAAGCAACCCAACCACAAGACAGAGCTGCTCACAGCTATATTCCATATGGTGAGTGACACTCATATTGTTTTTCTTTTTTTGTTTTGTATATAAAGTTGAACAAGACTTTAAAGCATGCTATTAAATAGATTGTTGATATGCTATTTGTAATCCAGATTCAGGCTTAAATGAGTAACTACGGGCTGAGTAATGACCAAACAAAACAGGTGCCCTTTAGTATCAGCTGCATCTTGTGTTCAGGGCTGATGGGCAAAGTGTGTTAACATGCTCACATCCTTATTTAAAAAGGTTAACATTTTAACTGCTGAAAATCAACCAAAACTTCTGCCTGCCATCATTTTCAAATAAGCTACACATAACCAAACGAGGTGGCACGATCATTGACTCTTAGCCAAGATGGAAATTGCATGAAATTACTTAATTTTCTGCATGTAAACTAACTAACTATTAACTATGGTGGCCAACAAGGGCGATCGACCTGCAACTGCCAAAACGCCGGTGTGCAAGTCCAGGCCGTACTCACTCTAAATGTCCTCATTGCAGTAATTTTAACATTACTCTCTGTCATCAAAATGCATTTCCCATCTATACAAAACGTTCACTTCCTTGTCTCCCTCACTCTCTTCCATTAGTAATGGACTGTTCTCCCTAGCGCCCCTGCAGGCCTGGAGCACTTGTGTTGAAGATTTACAGCATTTGTGTTGATGCAGATATTTTTCCAGAATGTGTTTCTTCTTTATCGTATGTATTTGCTGCGTGTTTGATGTAAATGCAGCTGTTTTGGCCAGGCCTGCCCACAGAAATGGTTGGGCCCCTTAAAGACCCGGTGAATGGGCCCCTCCCAGGATATGAAATTTAAAAAAAGAATGCACATTCGATCAGTAGTGTTCCTGGCTAATGTTAGCTCCCTCTGGGCCTGCTTACACTGGTTACATTACAAACAAAGAAAGAGGCTCATATCATTTTAAGAAGAGGGGGTTTACATTTTGAGAGTATCTTTATGAGCAACCATAAATGAAATGTGTCTTTTTGTTGCTCTCAGAGGTCATGGTGAGTATTTATGTGTAAAATAAAATGTGATCATTGTTGCTTAAATTTAGGATGGACCATGTTTTTGCTAACCTCCATGGGCCATCCCAATGCGACTGGGCCCGAGATAGCTTTTCCCTTTATCCTGCCTTAAGGGGGCGGCTTTGGTTTTGGCTTCTTGCAGCATGTTCCTTTCATGTACAGCGCATATCAGTGGTTCCATTTGCTTCTGAATTTATATTATTAGATTGCTACATGTTTTTTTGTATCGTTTTAGCCGTTGCAAGTCTGTTGCCCTTGTTGACCACCATATTTAACCCTGTCTTCGAGTGATAGACATTGAATAATTGATAGAAACTTAGATTGGCTTACAATCATCCTGATTTATAGTTTTACAACCACTCTTCTATTCTGTATTCATGGGAGGTCATTTATTTGTGGTTCAGCAGTCCTGCTTTTATGCCCATTCATTCCATAAGGTGTATGAACATTTTTTTTTGTGATGTCTTCTTGATGTTAGCTTAAACCCAAGAGAAAGGAGTAATATGCACATAATGTAGGAGCTGGGCCGTGCGAAAACACAAGAATGAGGAAGAAGATGATAGATTTGCACACTCGCTCAAATGCCACAAAAAGTTTTAATTCATCACAACGTTTCAACCAGAAGTCTTCTGGATCAGGTGATCATTTTTTAACAGAGGAGGTGGACCACACCCATATGTGTATCCAATCCAACTTTATTTATAGAGCACAGTTAAAAACAACAGAGTTGGCCAAAGTGCTTCACATCAAATAGACAAAAAGCATAATATGTATATATACAGTATATATTCAACACCACTAGGCTGATAGGCATTCAGATGGCAGGTGTGGGCAAACATTCAAAATGTCCGAAGATGAAACACATCTATAATGTTTACCTTCCAATATAACAGAAGGAGAAATACAAGGTAAACATATAAAGGCTAAATA